GGCAAAATAGGTAGAAGTGATCAAAAGGTACAAACTTTCAGTTATAAAATAAATAAGTCCTGGGGATGTAATGAACAGCATGGTGACTATGGTTAATAATACTGTATTTGTATATTTGAAAGATGCTAAGAGGGTAGATCTTAAAAGTACTCATCTCAAGAAAAAAACATAACTCTGTGGTGATGCATGTAAACTAGACTTATCATGATCATTTCACAATATATACAAATATTGAATCATTATGTTGTACACCTGGAACTAATATAAGGTAATATGTCAATTACATCTCAATATAAAAATAAAAACCATTAAAGAGAAAAGAAAACATAACGACCATAAGGATAAAAAATTATGGAAATCAACAGGCTAATTTGAAAAAGAACTACAACAGTATCTGGAAATAAAAATAAAGTTATTGAAATTAAAATCCCAGTGGGCAAAAAAATTAGAAACATTTAAAACACGCACAAATTTCAAGAAAGCAGACAAAGAACACGACATTAAACTCCCCAAAATAGAATGTAGAAAATAATGAAGAAAAATGCACAACTGATTAATAAAAAGACAGTGGAGCCAACTAACAAAAACCTATTCTTAGAAAAGATTGATATAACTGACAGCTTTATAGTTATTACCAATTACAAAAGAAACAGAAGTATGTGAATATTAGTTGAATAATACTGTATAAAATACAGGTGCAGAAAGAACTTAAATATTCTAAGAGAACACTACAAATATCATTACCAAATGGTGGGCAAGAAAAGGTTTCCTCATAAAGATATATTTCATCTAATAAACTCAGAAGGAATGATAGAAAGACAAAATTAATGGTGTAACCCTGAATTAATTAATGGATAAATATGCTAACCTTCAAAGACTGCAAATATCAACACAAAGGGAGATAGATATTTGGTTCCACATAATGAAAGTTTACAGTATCACCTATGGAAGTCTTTCCAAAAAAGAAAAAAAAAAGAGAAAAAAATTGTGTTTATCTCAATATACATTACAAATAGAAAAAAAAGTTAAACCTTAATCTGATCAAACTTCTACGTGTTTAAAGAGATACAGTCAGAGAAGGACACCAGGGCTGTAAACAGCAAAATCCAGAATCCATATGAAATTGGACTGAACATAAAATGAGAGGTTTTTTTCCCAATAACAACAACAAAATGACAAGGCAAAAGAAGTAATATATCTATGAGGGCTAAGATCTATAAATTAAGGGACATAAAAAGCAATAAAATGAATAGACTTTAACCCTAATTCAAGGAAAAAAACATTTAAAAACATGTCAGGTATAGTGAAAAATATCTAGACATTTGATGATACTAAGGAGTTAATTTTTTAAGGTAAGACATGTATAATTGGTTTATACTTCATAACGGGTGCTTATCTTTTAGAAATAGATACTGAAATATTTAAAGATGAAATTGTATGATATCTAGGATTTGTTTCTCATTATTTCAGTGGCAGAGATGGGGGTAGGTATGGAAATAAGTGGAACCAGATAGGCTATGTATAAATGACTGCTGATTCTGATGTCAGGTGTATTGGTTTTATGATAGCAGTCTCTCTACTGTTGTGTATGGTTAAGAATTTCTCTAATAAATGGAATATACATGTTGCCATTACATTTGAAACCTCAGTGAAAATAAAACATTATTTAGAAAAAATATTCATTATCCAATTGGTCCAAACAGAAATAGAAAACTGTAATTGAGAAACACAAACTGAAATACTCCTCAAAGTTCCAGCTACCTTAAAACGTTTCAGGACAAGGCAGTTCTACCAAATAAATAAGCAAAAAATTAACCACCATCTTATATAAACACATTCAAAGCATACAAAAAGACTGGAGAATTTTCAACTCATTTTCCTAGGCTAGCTCTCCTTGTAAGACAACTAGTTGAGGACACCCTGAAAACAGAACACTTGAGCCAAGCTCACTCACATACAGGCAAAGATCCTAAAAAAAATCCACAGAGGGTTCAATACATCAGTGAATTAAACAGGAAAAAAAAAAAGAGAGACTGAATCCAAGAAATATAAAGATGATATAACATTAGGAAAAAAACTGCCTACAATATAACCACATTAACAGATAAAATTTTAAAAAGCGTTTGACCATGTACACAAATGCAGAAAAAGCTTTTGAAAAATTCACAACAAATGCATAATACTGTCGAGCAAACTAACATTAGAAGAGAACTTTCATTTTCTAAAATCTACAGAAAACGAACTGAAATATGAAATTCGAAATGTTAGGAATATTAAAAAGATAGAAATTATCTGTAAATATGATCATCATTTTAGCAAATTCAAAGGAAAAAGCCACGGATTATTCAAAGGAATAAGTGACTTCAGAAAGTTGGTGTATAGGTATATATAGATAACTATAGTAAAACAAAGAGCCTTGCATACAAAGCAGCAATTATTAGAACAGGTATATATTCGTTATAAATGACAGTCAAAAATTGAAATGAATTTCACTACACTGTGCAATGTTAGATAAGATCAAAAGACCTAGGTTTCACAAAATTGTGCAGATCTGCCCCTTCCCCGTAGAAAGTAGATCTTATGAACAGAAAGTTCCCCAAAGTCTGTTTGACGAGCGACGAGATCCCATCATCAATACGCATTTTCTCCGACAGCTCAGAACTCGTCCCGGTCCCCCTACCTTGAGCTGCAGCTCCTCCATCACACATCACATCGGTGACGCGGAGCCGTTGCCTGCAAGGTTTAAGTTAAGAAACTGTCCAGAGCTTACAGGGAGGTTTTACTTCGGAAGGCGCCTTTAATCAATGCACCAGGAGCCAAAAGGAAGCCCTAACTCTGCAACGAAGGCTTTGGGTACCACCCACACCAGATCAGAGAGGGCATCACAGAGTCAAGCCCCACCTCGGCTGCAGCCCTGGGACGCGCCAGGCAGGGGTACCCGGATGTGTCGCACACTGACTTCCGTCTCTGCAACCTAGGAAACGAGAAGTGGTCTGGGAGAAGCAGCGGCATCAGTTCGGCAGAGGGAGGAATCCAGGTTCTACCAGGCGTAAGGTAAGGAAAGTGAGTAAGGTTTGAGGGACCCCCTAACCAAAAAGATAGAAGGCCCCTTAGTCCTGCCCTGCCATCGGCCCTGGCAGGTTCCAAGCAGGGATCACCGAATCTATTGCCCTCGGAATTCTCCTTTTAGGAACTCAGAAAAATGGTAACACTGGACCAGGGTGTTGGCACCAAGCCAGCAGAGAGAGGTCTCCAGGGCCTCTCAGGAGTAAATGAAGAGCCTAATGTGAGATCGGCCGAACTCTCCCTCCCGGCTCCAAGAGGCGTCCCACCCACCCCGACCTCCCCACACCCCCACCCCCGACCCCCGACCCCCCTACTCCTCCACCCCCACGACCCCCACTCCACCCCACCCCACCCCCAGCTCTCTGCCCCTGCAGTCAGCCCTGGGCGACCCCAGGCACGGGTGGCTGGAACAGGCACACCTGATGTCCAGTCTGGCTGCTCCAGCAGGTGAAGATATTCGACCAGGGTGTCTGCCTCAGGCCAGCAGAGGAAGGAGTACCAGGCTCTGCCAGGAATCAATAGATGCCCCTATTTGTGTTCTTAGAGAAACCGCCTCCCCAGAACAGTGGAGGCACTACGGAACCCTGCCCCTATGGCCAGCCCTGTGAGGCCCCTGGCCGGGCTGTAAAGCCCATGCGCTTCCTGCTTCCCCCTTTGGTGAGGTAGGGGGTGGAGTGGGGGAGAAGGGGGTTATATAAGAGCCTTAGTCTAATGCTAGATGAATCAGGTTAGCAGAAAGGACTCCTAGTGGTGGCTTTGAGTTAAGTTTATAACTTTGAGCAAGGACTGAAGGGAATTCCTCCCTCAAGACAAAAGGGGCTGCACAGAGCACTACCCCTATTAGAAACCCTGGTGTCCAGCTAAGCAGGGCTGTCACTTTATCCTCAGTAGTAACAGGGAGATGAGGGCCATATTAGAAGGAAGTGACCCAGCTAAGCCCTTCTCGAAGTCAAAGTGAGAACTGGGGGAGGGGGGTACAGAGAGTTAGGCCCTTCCTCTGTGGTCAGTCCTGGGACAGCCTGCAGAGGTCTGGCATACTGAGTCTGTGCCCCATCTCCCACTGCATATTCCAGGATATCAAGTGGATGAGAGCCTTGGTCTGATAGTTACAGGTCTCAAGTCTGCAGAAGGGAGGACACCAGTTAGCCAAGGGGAGGAACCACAATAAGGAATTTGAGGATTGAGAGGACTACCCATCACAGAATAGAAGGTGTTTCACAGAGCCCTACATGTGATGTCACATCCTTGGCAAGGGTGCCTGGTGAAGATATATTAAACTAAGAACTCCCTAAATTCCTCCTAGGACTTTCAGGGATGTGAGGGCCTTGCTCCAAAAGGACAGGTCTAAGGTCAGCCAAGGGAGAAGTTCCAGGCCCTGCAAGAAACCAAGGTGAGGACTCTGAGTGAGGAGTGAGAATCCTAATTATCCGAGAATGGAGAGGGTCCCACATAACTCTTTCATTGCTGTCATCCCAGGGTGTCCCAGGGCAAATGTGCTCAGATGAGGTTCCCTTTCAGTTCCTCCTCCAGGATGTCAGGCATGTGAGGGGTTTGGAATGAGGGGTTAGCATCAAAGCAGCTGAGCAGAGGACCTCAGGTCCTGCCAGAAGTCAAGGTAATGGCCCTCAATGTGAACTGAAAGAAACAGCTGCTACTGCAGAACCAGGGAGGCTCTACAGGGCCTGGACTTGTCAGTCCCTGTATCAGATCCAGTAAGACCCAGGTAGGGCTGGAGAGCTGCAGCCTAGGGTGAACTCTAGTCACTTCCACAGAGTCCTCGGGAAAGGCTGATCAAGGAAGTGGAGCTTTACGGGTTCCTAGAGCAGTGCCCTCAAGGAAACCTGAAGTGATGACCATTGATAAAGCCCAAAGTGGTATCTCCTTGCTAAAGAGTGTAACACCATTTCATCCTCTTTCCTCCAGATCACTGAACTTGTCTACCCTCTTTCCCACACCCCCACCTGCTGCCAGTCATCATGCCTCGGGGCCAAAAGAGTAAGCTTCGTGCCCGCGAAAAACGCCGCCAGGCTCGAGAGGAGCCCACTGACCCAGTGGATGCTCCTGCCACTGCACCAACAGAAGAGTCCCATTCTTTGCCATCGCCTCATTTCAAAGATGTGCCCTGGAGCCCACCTGCCACTGGAACACCCAGCAGTCTTCAGGTGTCTGCCACCACTTTAGCTGCAGCTGTTTCAAACATAAGATTTAATGAAGGTGCCAACAATCAAGGCGAGGAAATGCCAAATGCCTCACAGGCCCAGGATACCACTGAGCACTGGCCCCAATGCCCTATAGATAAGAAGGTTGCTATGTTGGTGTACTACCTGCTGTACAAGTATCAAGTGAAAGAGCCCATTACCAAGGCAGATATGCTGAGAAATGTAATCCAGATGTACAAGAATCACTTCTGTGAGATCCTCAGGAAAGCCTCTGAGCATTTGGAGCTGGTCTTTGGCCTTGACGTGAAGGAAGTGGATCCCAACAGGAATACTTATGTCCTTGTCAACAAACTGGAACCAAGCTATGATGAGAAGCTGAGTGATGACAGAGAAATTCCCAAGACCGGTCTGCTGATGACTGTTCTGGGCGTGATCTTCACGAAGGGCAACTGCGCCACTGAGGAGCAAGTCTGGGAAGTGCTGAATATGATGGGTGTATATGCTGGGAGGAAGAACTTCATCTATGGGGAGCCGAGGAAGCTCATCACTGAAGATTTGGTGCAGGAAAATTACCTGGAGTACCGCCAGGTGCCCGAGAGTGATCCTCCCCGCTATGAGTTCCTGTGGGGTCCAAGAGCCCATGCTGAAACCAGCAAGATGAAAGTGCTGGAGTTTGTGGCCAAGATCAATGATACGATCCCCAGTGCCTTCCCATCCTTGTATGAAGAGGCTTTGAGAGATGAGGAAGAGAGAGCCCGAGCAAGAGCTGCAGCCAAGGCTCGTACCGCTGCCATGGCCAATGTGCACTCCGGGGCCATGACAAGCAGCTTTTCCTGCCCTAAGTGAAGGCTGAAGTAGATTATTTACTACGTGTTTGAAGAGAACAGATAACGTTCTAATTAGTGGAAGTTTGAGGTGGGGCTGGAGAAAACAGTGTTCGTGTTCCTGTTCTATGTAATAACTTAAATTGGCCTAAATGTTGCTCCTTTTAATAGATAGTTAAGTAGCTTCAGAATTTGAGTTTATGAATAATGTCACACATTTATTGATGTTTAAGAGTTTAAGGTTTAAGAGTTTTACTGTTTCATAGAACAGATTGGGAGCTTTTCCATCTTATTTAGATAATTGGAATAAGATAATATGTCACTGGATTAGGCATTTCCTTGGAAATGTGAAAGAAATTGCAGTAAAATGGTTGGGATCAAGAAATAGAGAAAAAAGTAAAAGGTGATAAATTTTTACATTACCTTATCACTTTTAGTCTTCTGTCAAATTAAGAGATAAATATTTGGATGTGCTTACTTTATTCAAGAATGTAGTATTAATTATATCATAATAAATTAGACGTCTTGCACACTGTCTCATCCATTTCTCAAACATTCCATGAGCATCTGCTCTTTGAGAGGCTCTGTGCTACTACTGGGAATGTCAGGATAAACAAGACCCATCCTGCCCATTGCATTTCAGAGTCTAGCAACAGCTGTCAAGTAAGAAAGATGGTGCGATGCACCTTAAGACATAAGGACAAGTCAAAAGGAGGAGAGGACATGGGAGGATCCAGAAGTCAGCAGTCAGGTGTAACTGCCCTAAGGCAAGTGGGTTTGGGAAAGCGCAAGTCCTTCAGTGTGAGTCAGTGCTGTGGTAAACTGGGAGGTAGATCAGATGAGGCTCTGGGGGTGGTGGGCAAGGGGCCAGACCCTCAGAAGGTGTGTCCAGAGTTGAGAGATTAAACCCTGGAATGGAAAACTACTTGTAGCAGTTACTTTTGAGTCATGGATAAACCAAAGAGAATTCTCCACCTGGGACAAGAACGGAAGGTGACCTGCATCCTTTCCAGTGTCCTTTTCCCAGTGTAGTTGAGTACAGCATATCAACTATGTGTTTTACGCTCATCATCCCCAGGGAGTTTAGGCGGGATACTCATATGGCATGCATATGCTCAGAAGCCACTCTGCTAGCAATCTTTGCTCTGACCTGGTAAAGACAGAGTCCACTACATTTGAAGTTCATTTAATAAAACCTAATAAGGTTGTCTTGTGTGTAATTTGGCAAACTCCAAGTGAGGGCTAGAATTTTAATGGGACTGAAATAAATGAAAATAGAGGTTATTTGGATGGAAGGACAGTTGGAAGGGATGGAAAGAGTTGGTTCTTTACACAAATTGTAGAATCCTTAAGTTCCACCCAACTGGGGAAGACTCCCCTACGCACACAGTAACATACCCTCAAATACTTATATAGTAAATCATTTAGTTTTACTTGCTAAGCATCATGTTAGCTGATTTGTTGTGCTGTATCATTGGGTTCCCCTATATTCTCTGGTATCTCTTGGACTAAAAAACAATCACAGAGAAGATTTTGGTAGGGTCTAGGGTCAAAATAATAACAGTAATATCTGCAAATTATTAAAAGACTAAATACTTGTGAAACACTGGTTCTTTCATACATTACACACATCCCAGAGGGCCTACACAGCATGGCTTAGCAAACTCACTGCTCAGGAAAGCCTCATAGAGCTTTGCAATTTTCTTGACTTCACATGGCTCCTGCATGTCAGAACTGGGACTAGATCTCTAGTCTGAATTCATTTAGGGCCCTTCAGTGTTCCACTCCTTGAATAAAGCAGATGTTCTGTTTCTTATTTCAGTTCTACACTCAACACTCAGGCAATGAAGTCAAGGACCTTATTGCCAATGTACTAACCCCAGGTATGATAAAAAAAAATTAAAATTAAAAAGAATTCAGGAGAGGTTGTGGACTTAATTTACCTAGGCTCCTCCTGCCCCTGGCCCCAGAGTTCCTTGAGAGCTGACTCTACCCTAGTCCTAGCACTTCCAGAATTACATCACTCTTACCCTGGGTCTTCCCCCTGTCAAAATCAGGATCCTGACCTGCTGTCCAGTTTCCTTTCATAAGGCTACTCTCTGCTTCCAGCAGAACAGAAAACTCAGAATCGCCTGCCTTTCTCCTGACTTAGAGGCTTCCAAACCCTTGCAGACATCCCTTGTCTGTCCCACCCCTGTCTGTCCCACCCCGACCATGGAACCCTCCTGATAACAACAGCCCCGTCCAGGGGGCTGTTTACTTTGGCAGTGAAGTTCACGTGTCTGCTCATCTCTCGGTGCTTCCACTGTACTGAAAGGTTTGTTTTTTTTTCCATATCAGCTTGTAAAGTAGAGTCTGGTTTGGCAGAGGAGTTACTGGTTATTGAAAGATAACCCTGAAGTTAGAGAAGAGATTTTTAGAAAGCCAGTGAGGTTGGTAAGAAAGGAGAATTTAATCTGGTGATTTATTTGAGACTGGCCACTGAATCCATATGCTGATGAGTGAGCTTAACTAAGTGGCCAAGAACCAAAGCTTCTTCCCTAAGTGGTAGATGGGGAAGGACCAAGGAAATCACTGTGTAGCAACCATATGCAGAGGCTGGATTCCTAAAAACTCTGATTTTTTAGGAGGATGTAGTGGTTTTCTATTGCTAGCAAACAAATTGTCACAAAGTAAGGGACTTACAACAACACACATTTATTATCTCACATTTCTGTAGCTCAGAAATACAGGTTGGCTGTGCTATTTTCTTTGCTCAGGGTTACACAAATCCCAAATCAAGCTGTCAGTGTCTGGGTTTTTATTGGGAAGTGCTGAGAAGAATTGCATGCCACACCTACTCTGATTACTCTTGGAATCCACTTCTATAGGGAATTCAGTTCTTTGCAGTTTTAAGACTGAGGCCCTGTTTCCTTGCACACTGTCAGCTGGAACTGCCATAGTTCCTCAGGCCTCTCCCCCGTCCTTGTAAACGGACTCCTGCTTCTGAGACAGTACACTGAATCTGTCTCTTGTGGAAACTCTACTCTTCCCTCTGCTGCATCTCTCTTCTGCATCCAGCCAGAGAAGTTTCTTTGCTTGTAAGGGTTCATGTCGTTTGATTGGGCCCACTCAGATAATTCAGTATAATCTCCCTATTTGAAGGTCCATTTCATAATTTTAATTACATATGCTAAGTGCCTTTGGCTACGTAAGATAACATATTCACAAATTTCAGGGATAAGGGTATGGCCATTATGTGGAACAACCATTGACTCCACCACTGAGGTAGAAAATAGCTCCTTGGTGCACATGCCAGCTTTGATAAGAAAAAAATCACCATCATTCTCCTGACTCTTGTCTGTATCTGCCGCAGAGGAAAATCCTGGTTTTCGAGTGTGCCTAAAGACACCTGTACAAGTAAGTGTTCAGGCATGTTCAACAGTGGTGAGTAGCAGAGACTCACAAGTGTGATTTTTTTCATGCAAAAGGAAGAAGAAAAATCTCGATGTATTGAGATTATAGAGGTTACTGAAAAGGTCAGTGCACAAAGGTGCTAAGAATGAAGAAGGGTGCGCCCTCCCTGTTGAGATTTATGAGATCCTTTTGAAAGTTGGTTTGATCCTGTATTTGAAAACACTGGTCACATATAGGCACTAGAGAAAGGTGCTGAATTGCAAGGAATCTTGTTGGAAAATCTTCCAGGAATGAAGAGGGCTAATGCCATAAAGAAGTATAATAGTTACTCTTTTTTTGAGCATGTAACAGTTAATGGGAAAATCTGCAAGTGCTCATTTACTTCGTGTCTTGCTCTCCCTCCTTGGTTCATATGGAGACTACTTGCCCGTCCACTTGTAGTTAGGAAGGGTCATATGACTGTCCTTGAAACAGAAATGTGAGCAGGAGCATGCTTGTCACCTCCAGACCAACGTATTTGAGAACCACTACGCCAAAGCCATGCTTCTTGTTTCGTCCGGCAGCAAACATAGAGAGCCTGTGTTCATATGTGAAAGCTCATGATGGGAGTAGTCTGGATCCTTGAGTCAAAGACAATGTAGACCCCCTGCCAGCACCCATTAGATTTTATGCACATAAGAAATAAAATTTTATGTTAAGCCATTCAGAAATCAGACTTTTCCCACTACATCTCATAAATACTTTATCTGAATAATACACAGTTACTATTTCTGTTGTTATTCTTATTTAAATGTCTCAATTACAAAGGAAATAGGACATAAATTCTTGTTTCCAAAACATTCTAACAACAGGAAGGAAACATAATTCATCTTCCTTACTATGTAATTCCTCCAAAATTCATTCCTGCCCAGAGGTAAATGCATTAAAAACACTTCTGTGTAGTACTTTATCATTTATTCCAGGCCTAGTCTTACATACCTGTGCTAGAAAAATACACTGTGAGTTTTAAAAATACATGTGTAACAGTGTGTTTATTGTTCTGACTCTTGCCCTTGTTACTGAATAGAATGAATGCAGGATCTTTCCATGAGAGCACATATAGTTCACGTCTCTTTTAACGACTCCCTAGAATTCTAAAAGGTGTATGTGCCATAATTAATTTAATCATTCTCTTTCTGATGGACACACAAGTTGTTTCCCATTTGTTGTCATGATTAATAGAACTGATATCAACATCATAGAACACCAATTCTTGGGCAAATGTACATGTTTTATCATAGGAAAGACGTACAAAAGTGCAATTAGATGAGAGAATATGATGATAGTAAGTTTTATGAATATTGCTGGTATTCCATTCCAATAATGCTATACCAGAATATCTTCTCATATATTTATGTATGTGAATAAGTTAAGCTCTCATTGGTATTTTATTTTATCAACCTTTTAAATTTTGGTCAAACTTTTGATTGAAAATATATCACCTCATTATTATTTTAAATTTTATTTCCCTATTTTCTAAATAGATTGAGCAGAAAATTAATTTAGCCCTTCTACCATATAAAGGGAGATTTCTGCAGTGATATCTTAAGTACCAGTATTCCTCTGGGTGCATGATCTAAGAATTCTGATATATCAATTAAATGTTCCCTTTTCTTTGAGAAGCAAGGATTTGTCGGAATGATGACGTGGATTTTCTGCCCCTGTGTCTGGTGGCCTTTGTTATCACCAGACACTGTAGTAGAGAATTGGTCTATGATGCAAACATTTACAAGGTGGTTGGAGAACCACTGGAGATGGTGCACTACTTTCTCAAATTTAGAATGATGAGTAGATGTAGAGTCAAAAATCGTATTATAGCTTTAACCATGACTTATTGAATTGAAAATTTTAAAAAAGTTCCATACTAGTCATTCCCAAAGTCATTACAAAATCCCAGCTAAATTTTATATCACTGTTCTCAGTCTAGCAGAGGGAAGGGGCTTCAGACCCTAAGAAGTAAAAGTAAGGACTCAGAAGTTCTGAGGACATCACTCAACCCACAACAGAGTGGACTTGCACAGACACTGTGCCTACTATCAGGACTTCAAAGCTCAGGCCTGCCTGTTAGGTCCAGGTACCCCTTCACTTCACCTTCTGGTGCCTGGGGATGGGGGACTGGAGGGTGGGATGCTTGAGGACAAACACCTTGGCTTAAGGCTACCTGACTCAGATCAGGAAACAGATGAGTCCCAGGTCTCCCAGGAGTAAATGGAAGAGCCATATGTGAGTTCTGCCAGAGTCCTCTACCCACAAAAGACAAAGTCCACCCCTCACATCCAAGAGCCACACCCTTATCCTCAGCCCCAATGGGAGTGAATGGAAGTGTCTTCCCCTAACTTCCATCTCTGACTTCTCAGAGAGGAGAAGGCATTAGTCCGAGCTTGGGATATCAGGTGAACAGAGGAAGGAATTCTCGGGAAGAGTTCCAAGCACTGTCTGGAATTAGGGTAAAAACCCTGAGTGAGACTTGAGGGCCCCTCAAACATATACTGGAAGAGAGGGGATGCTGACAGAATCCTGCCGCTTACATAAGCCCTGGGAGATCCTTTACAGGGATCTCATCTTTGAATTCCCCATCTGTAGAGTCAGAGAGGCGACAGCACTGGACTAGGGTTTGGCATCCTGGCTTCCACCAGTAAAGTTCAGGACCCTGACTATGATCTAAGGGAGTCATCTATGACAAATGAGAAACTCTCAAAACTTACGGGCCTCTCAGAACCTGGGCCTCTGCTGTCACGCCTAGGAAGCCCCTGATGGGAGTGACTGTATATAACACATCCTGAGTTCTGCCTCTGATGTCATAGGGATGTTATAGAATTGTTCCCGAGGGGATGGTGTAAAGTTAGCAGAGGGAGGAGGCCCAGGTCCTGCCAGGAGGTAGGTAAGGACCCTTTGTGTGGTATGAGGGTATCTACTATCCAATGAGGGGGGCCCCCACAAGGTGCTGCCCTGCCATCAGCAATAGTGGGCCCTGGACAAGCACCCTCTAAATTCTTCCTTTGGAGATTCAAGAAAGGGATGGCACTTCCAGGGTTTCTGGAGTCAAGTCAGTAGGTGGAAGAGTTCCATATCCTCCCAGAAGTGAAGGTGAGGACCTTGAGTGAAGTATGAGGGACCTCCCACCTCAAAAGAGAGGGTTTCCCACAGAGTCCTAACACTGCTGTCAGCCCAGGAAGGGATAAGGTGTGAGTGGCTGGATGCAAGACATCCTGAATTCTAAATATACATTTTCAAAAAAGTGAAGAGCTTTGTTTGAGAAAAGCTGCTTTAAGTCATCAGAGGAACTACTTCTAGGTCCTTCTAGGAGGTGACATGAGGACCATGAGTGAAGTTGGAGGGGATCCCTTACACCAAACAGGGGGTCCCGCATATTCTTGAAAGAGATTGGGCAGGAATCATCTGATGAAGGGCCCACTGAATTCTCCTTGTGAGAACTCAGGAAGTTAAGGGCATTGGACCAGAGTGTCAGCCTCAGTCAGCAGAAAGAGGAGTCTCAGTTTCTAACAAGAGTAACAAGAAGAACTTGATTAAGTTCTGAGGGAACCCCAATTATGCTATAAGCCCTGAGGGGTCATTGGGTAGCTATGTTAGGATAAGGGCTTCCTAACTTCCTCCTCAGGGATCTCAGAGATATGAGGGCCTCGTTCTGAGGGGATAGGTCTCACATCAGCAGAGGGAGGAGTCGCAGACCCTACCAGAAGCCAAGGTGAGGACCTTGAGTGAGGAGTGATGATCTTAATTACCCCAGGATAGAGACGGTCCTTCTAAGTTCTGCCAATTCTGTCATCCCAGTGTCCCTAGGAAGATATGGTCAGATGAGGTTCTCCCTTACTCCTCTTGAATTCAAGGGAAATGAGGTCACTGAAATGAGGAGTCACCATAAGAGCAGTAGAATAGGGGGATCTCAAAAGCTGCCAGAAGTCAAGACGATGGCCCTGAAAGTGAACTGAGAGAAACAACCCCTACAAAAAAAAAAAAGAGGGGGGCCTCCATGGAGCCTGGACATTTCAAGCCTTGCCATCACCCCAGGAATCGCCAGGCAGATCTGGCATGAAGCAGCCTAAGGTGAACTCTAATTACTTTCACAGGGTTCTCAGGAAGCAGGCTGATAGAAGAACAAGAGCCTTGTGGGTTCCTTGAGCTGTGCACACAGGATATATTGATGGCAGAGGCGGCCATCAATAAAGCCAAGGCAGCATCTCTGCCATGTGGTGAAGGTACACACACCATCTTATCCTCTTTCCTGCAGGTCATTGGTTTATCTGCCAACTTGCCTGCTGCACCTGAACAGTCATCATGCCTTGGAGTCAGAAGAGTAAGCTCCGTGCCCATGAGAAACGCTGCCAGTCCCAAGAAAAGCCCGAGGATCTGGCAGGTACCAAGGCCACTGTGGGAGTGGGAGAAGAGTTCTGCTCCACTTCCTCTACTCTTTCCAAGGGTATTTCACAAAGCTCACTTATTGCTGGGTCATGTTGTAATCCACAGGTTCTTCAGAGAGCCACAGCTGTTTCACACACTGAGCCCACCAACAGAGACCCTCCAGATGAGATGGTGGTTTTATCAGTGTACTACCTGTTGTACAAGTATCAAATAAAAGAGCCCATTACCAAGGCAGATATGCTAAGAAATGTAATCCAGATGTACAGGAATCACTTCCATGAGATTCTTAAAAGAGCTTCTGAACACATGGAGCTAGTCTTTGGCCTTGACCTGAAGTAAATGGATCCCTACTGGCACATCTATGTCCTTGTCAACAAACTGGAACCAAGCTATGATGAGAAGCTGAGTGATGACAGAAAGGTTCCCAAGACCGGTCTGCTGATGAACATCCTGGGTGTGATCTTCACGAAGGGCAACTGCGCCACTGAGGAGCAAGTCTGGGAAGTGCTGAATATGATGGGTGTATATGCTGGGAGGAAGAACTTCATCTATGGGGAGCCAAGGAAGCTCATCACTGAAGATTTGGTGCAGGAAAATTACCTGGAGTACTGCCAGGTGCCCGAGAGTGATCCTCCCCGCTATGAGTTCCTGTGGGGTCCAAGAGCCCACGCTGAAACCAGCAAGATGAAAGTGCTGGAGTTTGTGGCCAAGATCAATGATACAGTCCCCACAGCCTTCCCATCCTGGTATGAAGAGGCTGTGACAGTTGAGGAAGAGAGACCTCGAGCCAGAGAAGCAACCAAGGTTCATACCACTGCCATGGCCAGTGCACGCTCCAGGGCCAGAAGTTCCTTCTGCCCCAATAAAGTCAGGCCGATTCTTCACTTTGTCATTAATAAAAAGTCCACATTCTCATTAGTGGAAGGTCAAGGTGGGGCTGGAGACAACAGAGTGTATAATATATTTGTGTTCTTATTCGATGTGTTAACCTAGATAAGTTCAAAATTGTTTTTCCTTTTAGTTGAAAGTTTCTTAGCTTCAAAGTCCAAGTTTGTGTATGTCGTTGCTCATTTTTGTGCCATGCATGAGATATGAGTAATAGATTATTATTTTGTAGATCAAATTGGGAAACTGCACCTTATTTAGTTATTTGGAACACAATAACATGTCGATGGATTAGGCATTTCCTTTGAAATGTAAAAGAATTTAGCAGTGAAATACTTGAGACCAAGAAATAGAGGAGAAAAAGTAAAGATGGCTAAATATTGTTTTCTCTATTCATATTTAGTCCTTTGCTTAAAATTAAATTATATACAGCTAGATATATGTAGATTACTCAAGAATGCAGTATTAACTATGTCACAGTAAATTAGACGTCTTGCACACTGTCTCATGCATTTCTCAAACATTCCATGAGCATCTGCTCTTTGGGAGGCTCTGTGCTACTACTGGGAATGTTAGGATAAACAAGATCGATCCTGCCCGTTGCATTTCAGAGTCTAGGAACATCTATCAAGTAAAGAAGGCAGTGCAACGCACCCTAAGACGTAAGGACAGGTCAAAAAGGAGGAGAGGACGTTGAAGGATCCAGAAGTAAGCAGTCAAGTGTAAGTGCCCTGAGACAAGCAGGTCTGGGAAACTGCAAGTCCTTCAGTGTGAGTCAGTGCTGTGGTAACCTGGGAGGTAGATCAGATGAGGCTATGGGAGTGGTGGGCAGGGGCCAGACCCTCAGGAGGTGTGTCCAGAGTTGAAAGACTACAGCTTGGAGTGGAAAACTACTTCTAGAAGTTACTTTAAGATTATAAATTAAACCAGAGAGAAATCTCAACCTGAGGCAGGAATGGAAGGTGTCCTGTGCTTCTGTCCCAGTGCAGGTTAACACAGTCCACAAACTAGGTATTTTACATACATTGTCTCCAGGGATTTTCTGTGAAATAAGGGTGGTACTGCCTTAACTTGTGATGCTCAGAAGTAATTTTGCTGGCACTCTTTGCCTTGGGCAGGCAAACACTGAGCTTACTCTGTTAATAGGGTGTTTCAATTAGATTATCTTGAGTTTAATTTGGCAAAATCAAAGTGAGGGATAAATATTTTGATGGGAGTGAAACAAGTAGTCCTTGACACATTTTCTAAGAGCCTTATATGCATCCAACTGGGGAAGATTTTTCCAACTCAATAAAATATCTTCAAAATGATCCCTAGCAAGTAACTTACTTTTACTTGGTAAGAAGCATTTTGAACGATTTGGTGTGCTATATCCTAGAGGGCTGTATGTTCTTTGACAACTCCAGGATAAAAATAAATTTTAAAATTACAAGATGGGAGGCTGGTACTGCTTGAAGTCAAAATTATAATAGTAATAACTGAGAAGTATCAAAGATCTAATATATGCCAATCACTGAATCAGGTACCTTACATGAATCACTCACATTCCAACTGTCTGACATCACAAGGTATACATGAGTCTGGGAACAAAACAACTTGATCAAACCAACTTCATAGATGAAGAATTTGATACACACATTGCTTTGCAATTTTTGTGGGTTCGTGTAGCTCATAAGAGACAGACCTGAGAATAAAGTCCTGGTCTGAATTCTTTCAGAGCCCGCTGTTCCACTTCTCCCAGCCTGAGACAGACCTTGTGTCCATTAATTCATTTGTCTTTTCACTGCTCCACAATGAAAAGAAGGACTCTGTGGCCAAAATACTAAAAGGAGGCCTAAAGAAGGAGGGTGAAAATGAGAACCAAACACAATTTGGGGACTGTCTGGGGGCTTCATTTACCCAGGATCCTCCCGCTCTTCACCCCAGGGTTCCTTGAGAGCTGACTGCCCTGGTCTCAGCCTGAGTGATCAGTCCAAGCATTTTCCCACATGACAGCGCCCTTCCCCTGGGTTTTCCCCAGTGTGCCCGCGTGTCCAAACTGGAAGCTGACCCGCTGGTCAGCTCTTCTGTGCAACTTCCTCAGGAAGCTGCCCTCTGCTCCCAGAGGAACAGATGGCCCACATCCCCTGGATTCCTCTGACTTAGAGCATCCCACCTCCCTACAGATCCCATTTCTCACTGTGGACTCTCTGATAGCGGCTGCCCTATCCATGTAATTGTTCACTTCAAACAGTGACGTTCACACACCTCCTTACCCCCCATGGATGCTCCTAACACATCTTTAAGTTTTTTCTAAATCTGCTGGTAGGTAGAGTCTGATTTGACACAAAATTTACTTATTATAATATCCTGAAGCAGAGATACAATCATGAAGTTAGAGAGGAGCTTTAGGAAGCAGATGAAGTTAGGTAGAAAAAAGAATTTAATCCAATGGACTATTTGAGACTGAATACTGAATCCATACACTGAGGAGTAAGCTTAACTAAATGATCCAGAACCAAATCGTCCCCCTACTCCAACAAGAGGCAGGTGAGGAAGGACCGAGGAAATCACTATGTAGCAACTGTCTGTAGAGGCTGGATTCTAACAGATCCTGTAGTCTTTCCAGGAAGTTATAGTAGTTTCCTATGACTGCTGTAAAAAATTACTACAAATTTACTGGTTTACAACTGCACATATTTATTATCTCAGTAGGTACTGTTATCTACATTTCTGTAGGTGTGAAGGCTGAGTGGCTCGGCTAGATTCTGTGCTTGGATTTCCACAGGCTCGAGTCAAGCTTTCAGCTTGCAGGTCTCTTATAAGTCTAGG